GTTGTGTCTTCGAATATGAACACAATTGTGATTATAAAAAATTATATTTGATTCGTTAAAGAATTTGAATTCATAAACTTTCCTAATTTTGAGTGAAAAATTGAGAGAATTATCTTTATCCGTGATTTGATTAATTTCAATAAATTAAAAATTTTCATTTTTTTCAAAGATCTTAAAAATATTATTCAATAATTTTATTTTTTAATTATGATTTAATTTGTAGAATGCAAACATCTTTTAAAGATAGACAAGTATTTTTTTATTTTTTTATATTTTCTTATATTTAATATTAAATAATATTATGAATATTAAATATTCGTAAAATATCTTTGGAAATTTGAGAATAAACGAAACAAATTTAGAGAAAACAAATGCAAAAATTGATGTAAAAAATAATACGATAAATTGAATGATTAAAATTATTCTGTCTCCACCTTGCTTTATTTAAGATTAAATTAAATTACTTATAACTTAATTATAACTTAATTATAAAATGAGGTAACAATATTTTTTTAATGATGATTACACAACTTAATCAATTGTATCATTTTTACACAATTTAATATTTTATTTAATAAAATTAACGCAAATTTAATATATTTACATATACATATTAGATGAACAATTATTCATACAAAGAAAATTCAATAAACAAATGCATTCAATAAAAAATCCATATCCAGTAGTAGAATATAGATTTTTTTTGTTCAATGTTTATAATCCAGCTAGTTTGAAGCTGAGAGCTTTGAGTTTTGAAACGGATGTTACGATAGATTAATTAATTTAATTAATTAATAATTTAATTGATTAATAAATTAAATTTAACGAACATGACGTCGTGGTTATTGGCGTTTGTTTCGGACATTGACAAAATTATATATTATATAGTTTTGAAAAATTCCTTGTATTTAAGTATTTATTAATGATATAGAAATAGCAATTTTATATTGTGTTAAGTATAAATATTATGAATTATATTTAAATTAATTGGAAATTAATGAAATTAAATTTCCTATTTATAAAGATTAATTAATATACGCTTGCGTATACATGAAATAAAAAAACAAATAAAAGAATCTAGTTATAAGAATATAAAGATGCAAAATATAATTTTTTTTATTTTAATTATTTATAAATATACACGATTTATAATAAATAATAAAAAATAATAAATAAATAAATACTATAACATTACATGTTTCACACTCAATGCTCTATTAAATTTATATTTTATAAAAAATTAGAGTTGAATCTATTCTACACCCGGTTTTTTTTATTAAATAATTATTAGTTCAATTATTACATCATGTTGCATTTATGTTGTACTGATAATCATATATTTATATAAACAATTGATAAGTAACTATTGCATGCTAATTTTTTTAATTTAGCATATCGTATCATAGATGCATACATATACGCGAAATTTAATTTAATAATAATAATAATTTTTTGCATATCTCAAAAACTGCAAAAGATTTACTTAATTTAATTAAGGAAAAGTTTCTGAGGATGATATTCTTGATAAAAATAATATACAATATAAGGTTATGATCATTAACATGATGATTAAAATAAATAATTATTAAAAAAATTAAAAAAACTAGCTTTTTATAGCTTTATAGTTTTTTTAGTTGCAAAAATTTTAATAATTTTAAAAATCTTAATAATATATATTTTAAATATATTAAAAAAATAACAAAATGATTACTACATAATATATTATATATTAAATCATTTTGTAGATATATTTTTTTAATTATCAGATAAAACAAAGAGAAATATAAAATGTGAATACAAGAAATAAAGGAATAATTAAAAATAATTAAAAAAGAGAAATAATTAAAAATCATAATTCTGATTGAATAACAATCATTGATTTTATCAAAGATATTAAAAATGTTTAGTACAAGCAAATTTTTTATACTTATGTTTCTTAAGGAACAACAATATTTTATTATATATTATTATTATAATGTATTTGCACGAAAATATATAATAACAAAAAAAAATTTAATATTACAGACATTACATCTTGGTAATAATATAATATTAATAAAATATATCATGTTTTATGTTGCTGTTTGTTCAGAAGCATTTATATATTGCTTCGCTGGAGAATACCTGAGTATCAAGGTTATTAAAAATACATATAAATATATTGAAATATCAAAATGATCAATTTTTTATTACATTTTTTATCATGGGTAATATAACAAATATTTATTTATGTATTTTTTTATATTGTTCTAACAAAATAATATAATTTTATTTAATCAGATAGTAAATTTTTAAATAATATATAAAGTGCTATAATTTAATTTCATATTAAAAAATTTTAATAAATCATTTGTTGTGTAAAAAAATGAGATAAATTTGAATGGTTTCGAAAAGAATATAATTTCATATATTTATAAACGTTAAAAAAAATGAAGTAATATAATATTCATTTAATATTAATATTAAATGATATATGATAATATATTAATGTACTAAATGTAATTTTCATAACAAAATATTATGAATGAATAATATAAAGAAACTAAAGGAAAATATTTAGGAGATTATTTTAATTTCAAAATTATAAAATCTACACGATTAATCTTATTTTTGCTAAATGTATTAATACTCATTTTATTTAAAATTATTTTTTGCATGTGCTAATTGACATTGGTTATAGCTTATCATTAATTCCAACAATAATACAAAAATTTGTAATTTTTTAAAGTTATTGATATATATACATGCATGAAACGTTGATTATATTTGCTATTGTTAGAATTTTGTACATTTTTAAATTACATATTTCCAAATTGACATTTTGAAATTTTTAGCTAAATATCTAATTTTAGATATTTAGAACATAAATTTATTTTTCTTGATATCATTTTTGAGTTATGTTGTTATAACAAAAGAATAATTATTTTTATACATTTACATTTAAAAAAATTAATTATATAATACATCAAATCTCAGAGTTGTTAGAATCGATATTTCCAGAAATAAATTCTGGAGAAAAATATATTTCGACATAATATTACTATCTTTGTTAAAGATTGATTAATTCATTGATTTTGTGTTATTTATTTTATGGTTATATTTATTTATTATGGTTATATTATTTATTTTATGGTTATATTTTATTTGTAAATGATTAGATTATATTCTTTTCAAAATCAAAATATTTTATCTTAATATAGTTATCAATTTACGAATTATTTATCAATAGATTAAAAGTAATATATTTAGTATGGGAATAAAATAATATTTTTCCAATATTATTTAAAATTTTTTTTTTATTTTTTTATATTTTTATTATCTTAAAATATTATTTTAAAAATAACAATACTTAAAAAAAATTATTATTAAAATAACTTAATTTTTAATAACTTTTTATTTAAATCTTTTTTAATTAAGTAAAAACATGTATTTTGTAATCAAATTTTTCAAATGAAATATAACAGGGAATTTAATTATTTATAGTAATACGTTAATTATTTATAATATTTATCTATAGTAATACATAATAAATAAATTAAAAATACATTATATTTTTTATTCAATTTATTGTATAGAACTTATAAAATTATAGCATTTTGTTTATTGTATAAAATAATATATTCAATATAATAATATTTCATACTATAGCTTAAAACTATCGAAATTATGTTTTAAAATGACTTAAATAATATAATATTTATAAAGAATATTACAAATATAAAAACAATGAAAACAATTCTTTTATACGTTTTTGTTAAGATTTCCTTTATCAGTTATTAACAATTTTACATAAAAATACTACATAAAAATGCCAATCGAAAATTATTATATATCTTCATTGATTAGAAAGAAAATTAACTTTAACATTTCTAAAATGTAAGCATAAACTTTAAATAAATATAAAGTACACTTATATTATCTTATGTTTCATTTTTATAATTTATAATATAATTATATATCCATTTAAAATCTTTTTGATTTGGAAAAGTTTATTAATTCGATACTATACACAAGTTTTCTTTTTCTTTTTTTTTTTCATTTGATCCTATTTAATGGAAACTCTATCCTATTTCTCGTTGAATTCTAATTAATCTATCTAATTAATAATAATAATAATTATCTAAAACTATTAATATTTAAATTCAATAATATGTTCATGAATTATTTAATATATTCAAATGAATAATTAAAAAATTTTAAGCTTTATTTATGATTAAACAATTGATTTTGTTAAACTTTATTTTATTATTAAATTCTTAATGTAATTTCGACATACTTACATTTTTTTTCTAAAAACATAAAACATAATATTAATATATGTTTTAATGCTTTCTTTTTAAAATTTTATTTTATTTTAGAGTAAATTGATTGCCGATACAGCATATGAATTTCTTTGGTACAACATGAATCCAAGTGAAAGTCGACTTTTAATACCCATAATATTGAGAGCCCAAAGAGGATTCACTTTTACTTTTGGAAAATTTGCAACTCTTTCCATGGAAAGTTTTACAGCTGTAAATATATAAAGCTATTTATATTTTTTGTTTTCAATGATTTTAAATTTATTTACGCAATTTTACCAATTTTTTTTATATAAAAGTAATATTAATATTGATTTTACTATTTATATTAGGTTGTCTAATAAATTCATATTGTTTTTAAATTGAAAGAATATCTTTTTCAAAAAAATAAATGAAAATTATTCTATTGTATTGTATATAGATATTATTTTTTGTTTCTTGTAATAATCAAATTAATAAATAGATGGTATTTAGAAAATATTGAAATAAAAAAATAATAATTTGTTGAATTTTGATAATGCTATTTAATTTTTTTGACTTAATTATTTTCTATTCAATTTTTCTTTCTTCTTTTACGAATTTATAATTGAGAATGAATATAGATCAAATTTAAATTTTAAAAACTAAAATATTTATATCTCAGCAGTTTCTTTAATTATATTTCTTTTTTAGAAATGATTCTTTGAAAGATAAATATATTTATAAAGATAAATATATGTTTCTTTAAATATAATTTATCTATTTTACTAAAGATAAATAGATTTTATTATTAATGCGTTTTACATTTTCCATTATAATTATTTTTATGTATATTACATTACTAGAGTATTAACATATTAGTAATTATATAATTGGGATACTAAATAAAATAAAAATCGATTCTAGAAATCAAAATAAATATAAAAATTGATATATAAAGATATTGACTATATATAATTTGAATATATATATAATATTGAATATATATATAAACTATAAAGTTGTAACAATTTAAATTTATAACATTAATTATAATATTTATAACATAAATTTATAACAAATTTATAACATAATAATATGAAACAGAGATAGAGTTATATTATTTCATCTAATGCAAATATAAATTTTGTATAACTTAATAAATAATTCTTTACAACTTAATAAATAATTAATAAATAATTTTATATTTTTATATATTTTATATTATCTTTGATGTTAGATTCGAGAATCGATTTTTTGAAAGATAAATGTATATAATACATATTAAATATTAATGATTTTATTTTTGACATTTTCTGTATGAAATTTTGGTGAATATATTATATATATATTCACCAAATATATTATATTATATATTATATTTTTTTTAATTTTTTTTAAAAATAATATTAGATATGGTATATTTTCAATTTAAGAATAAGAATAAGAAATTGTAATATTACTCTATATTGTAATTGTAATATTTACTCTAATATATATACTTACATATTTACTCTAATAAATTTGAAGCAATTTTTACTACAAGAAATATTCACTGAAATATATGTATATGTCTGATAAGAGTCGAAACTTTTTCATTGCTTTTAATGATTTGAAATTGTTTGCGAATTATAATTTATTTTGTTGTTGTTCAATTGACATGAGCAATAATGATATATTTAAATAAAATTTTTTCTTAAAATCAGCAAGATGTAAGAAAAATGTATTTATTAATTTGACATTTCAAAGTTTTAAATTTAAATTAAATGAAAGACAAAAATATAAATATAATAAAAACAAAACCCTAATTTATTATTATAGTATATTAGAAGAATTTATCTTAAAATAAAACGAAAGAAAAATGTAATCAACATTTTATTTTTTTTTTTAATAATTAAAAGAAAATGAACTTATTGGACAATTTAATAACGACATAAAATATAAAAATTTTCTTTTTCAGTAATTGAAATAACATTAATTTATATTTTTAGATGATGAAAGCATCAGGATCGTACATGTCTGTATTACTTGCAATGACTTAAAAAATATATTTGCAAATATTATAATGTAGTTTTTCTTAATTTTCTTAATTTAAAATATATTTACATTTAACTTGAATTAAATAAATTAATAAATAATAAATTGTTAATAACAATAAATGCTTGTATGTAAAGAAGACGCTAAAAGCTTCATGTATGTAAAAATAAAGACAAGGAAAATATTAAATATAGAGCATATATATAAATATAATTTTTGTTATAATTTTACAAAAATTTTTAATGTAAAACTTCATTTATATATATAACTTCATACATAATGATGAATGAATAATTCGTATAATTAAATCTATAATAATAATCCACTAATTTTTTTATTATTTATTATTTTTTTAAATATCCAGAGTTCATGTTTAAAACTATGAATTCAATTGCATATAAAGTTCATTTTTTGAATTATGTTATATTTTTGTTTTTTTCTACAATTGATATTTATACAATCGAAATGATACTTGGTATTAATTCAAATAATAAAAGTTTAAATATAACTCAGTTTAATCGAACATTGATAAAAATAGAATTTCAATAAATGGAGTTTATATAAATAGAGTTTTACTAACTTTCTAAAATATTTATACAATTTTTAAAATATTCTCTAAAAATATGAAAAATATAAATATACGTATGCACATATACAAATATATACGTACATATATGAATATTAATTAAATTTTATTTTTTTATTATTAATTAAATGCTCAATAAACAGTTTTGTAAATCATTACGTGCAATATATTTTGATTAGATTATTTAAGTAATTACATTTTATCATAAATAAATTTTGTTTTAAGAAAACCTAAAGATATTTCTAATAATTAGTATTTTAGAATGAGGAAATATAATTCATAATATTAGTTTTTTATATCAAAAATAATTAAAAGAGAATCATCATAATCATAACTGATAATCGTAAAAAAATTTTATTGAAATAAACTATAATTATATATAAAATGATTATGCAATTATAAAAAATTAAAATATAACTTTTTATAAAAAAAAAAAAATAATAGAAAAAGAAAATGAATGATTTAAAATATATTATTTATAATTTTTTTTTTTTTGAAAATGTAAAATAAAATACTAATATTTTTCTTGAATAAATGTAAATACATTATGACATATTCTATATAAACTTGATCGAATGTAAAGATATCATATAACATTCTATTCAATTAATAAAGCGGTCTCTTGAAGATTTTTTTTATATAATATTTATTATAATTTTATTATAATATTAAAATGCAAAAGTTTTGAAATATATAAATTTCGATAATTTTCATGATAGCATAACTATTTTTTTTAATTTAAATATTAAAATATCGATAAATGAAGCATTGCATTTTATAGTTTTTTTTATATCATATTTTTATGATTTAATAGATTCTTTAGATTATTTTAATTTAAATTCTCCAAAAAAAATTGAATATTAAACTTATTTTAAAGTATAAAACGAATACCAGCTTGAAATAAAGAAAGATATTTATGTAGATAAAAATTTTCTTTAGTGCATATTTATTTTTTGTATAATCAATAATGTTGATTGTTCATCTACGAAATTTGAAGAAGATAATTTATAATTATTTGTAATTATTTTTTATAAAAAACTTGCTTACATATCTTTGAATTTTTTTTAACTTTAATATTTTTCGTATTATATTTTTAATATATATATATTACTGATATTTATAGCTATTTTATATAAATTAATAGTTTTTATTTTTTGTAATTATTAACTCCAACTTATTCCTGGAGCTATGGGATATAATAATAAAATTAATTATTACGAAGTCGTTATTAAGTTCGATTCACTAGATCAAAGGCAAAGTTCATATGCCAATGACGGAAAATAAATTCAATTCATTAGACCAGAGACAAAATCCAAATACTATTGACAGTTGATAAGTTCGATTCATTAGACGATCAAGAGCAAAGTCCATATGCCAATGACGATCACTATCACTTCGAAATTCAAGTTATGGTTCTTGATGTTATGACAGTTCTTGCAGTTCCGATATTCTTGTTGTTTTTGTAGTTCTGTTTTTGTATTCTTACGTTCTTCTTATAATTCTGTGTTTTGTAATTCTCCAGATTTTGTAGTTCTGGCAAGCTTTTAAGGATTCTCCCTCAGACTGATACCTTCTGAAATTCCTGCCATGTTCCACTTGTAAGCTTGCGGATCTTTATTGAGGATACACAAGTATCCAATAATGCTGAAGACAATTTCTTGATTGAGCGGCATCCCGAATCAGAAAAAGCTGCTAGAATAAGTTCGAAAGTTACGCCACTGACAAGTTCCTTATTTTCTTAAAGGCTGTTCTGCACATGTTCGCACTTTCCTTCGGATAAAATGATGTTAATTGCCGGGAATGACTATAAAAATCATTTCAGGTAGCAAAACCATATTGCCATTCCAGTTATACTATAATTATATATAATTATATAGAATTATATAGAATTGTTCCAAAATGTGTAAAACAAATGGTTAACAATATTTCTCATAAAAAACATATTGTCCTTACATCCTAAGTGCAGATTTGGAGACCATTTATTCAGTAATTGAACAATAATTTTATTCAGTTATTTGAAGTAATTTTAAAGAATTATAAATGAATGATTTTATTGATATAATTTTATTGATACTATTTAATGATATTTCAATAAATTCGAAAAATTTTATTTTCTTCTATAATTAAATAATTTTTTTAATGCTAAATCTTATTTTGTCACAAAAAAACAATTAATTTATAACTAACAATTAATTTATAACTATTTGATATTTATGTTATGTATATTTTTTGTTATTATATAAGCATTATTTAAAAATATTTAAATTTGAAGTTTTGAAATTATGAATATATGTAAATATATTTTATTATGAATGACAATTCTAAGCAAAATTTTCTTTTTATTCTATAACTATTGTATTTATTTTAGTTTTATTTGATTTATATATATATTTTTTTATATATATGAATATTTATAAATACCTATTGAAATTACAGATTTTTAGATAGATTTTTATTTAAATTAATAAAATTCTAATTCAGATAATCTTAAATTCAACAAATGATAATAAAAATATTTAAATACAAATAGAAATATTTAAATATATAAAAAAAATTAAATATTACAAATTTTATAATATTATAATAATTAATTAACAAAAGATTATTTTATAAGAAAAAATTGTAAAGAAATTATGAATTTTCCATAAAATTTAGAAAAAATTTAACTAGACTATCTTAAAAATCTTAAAAAAAATTTATTAAAAGAAAAAAGTATATGAATGAAAAAAAAATTGAAAATTATTAAATCGTTTTGCAAAACTAAACATATTGAATATATCATTCGAAAAAATATACAAAAAAGTATTGAATTATTGAAAAAGTATCCTCATTCTCTATATCCTTTATTATCGTTGACATTTTAAATAACAATTTTGTAAATTGGAAAAATTTAATAATTTATTATATATTATAATAAATAAAGAGTGATAAAATATTCTGAAGAGAAATAATTTCAATGTAAACAAAACAAACAAAAAAATCCTACGATGATATATCAAATTTGATTTTACAGGGGATAATATTATATTATGCAAAATGATAAAAATATTGAAAAACAAATTACTTTTTTGGATTATATTTCTATAAATTGATATTTTTTTATTTATTTATCATTTAAATTTAATAATACATAATTTTTTCGGTCAAATTCGGATTTAGTAAACAAAATGTGTAAGAAATTTTTAAACAGCAATTGGTGTGTTTTATAATTTGTTTCATAGTTGCATTTATTTATATTGCATTTATTTTTCATATAAACATATAGTTTATTTTTCATATAAATCAAATTTATAAAAAAAAATATGAATTGCAAATTAATTTTCTTCTATAATTTTAAGAAAAAACAATTTATATGGATATACATATAAATACATATATAAAATGAATACAATATATTAATAATTTTGAGAAATATTGAAAATCATAGAATGTTTTATAATATTTATAATATTTTAATTTCTTATAATTGCAGAATGTAGATTACTTATTATTAATATTTCTGTTTCATATTTTGAATAGAAAAAAAATTGTTATAATAAAAAATATTATATTATAGTTAAAAAAAAATTTATTGTAAAATTATTACAAAAATATCATATAATTAATAAAAATAATTTTATTTAGTTATAATGTGAATAATGTGAATTTTTATAATGTGAAATAATTTTATTTTACAAAAATAAAAATATTTTTTCATAAACTTTAAATTTTAAAAATATTATAAATATAATAAAATTCAATTTTAAAATTCAAAAACTATGGTTAACAAAACAAAAGACTATGGTTAACAAATTAGATTAATTTATATATAATAGTCCAAATAATAGCTATGATTTAAAATATTATTGATTATTATTTTAAAATTTTAGAAAGAAGTAATTTAATTTCTTTCATTTCCTTTACAATTATAAACAGTTTGAAAATTCAAAACAAAAAAAACATGATGCAGATTATTTAGAAAGGAATATTTTTATGTAGTTTATTTTAATATAGATTCAAAGATTTTTTTTTATTATTTTTTTTATTATATTTTTACTACAATCATTACAAAGAAATTATATTATGTTGTGGTTATATCTTTCGCCATTTTTAATCATTACTTTTTAGTAGTTCTTTTTTAGTAGTTTCAACAAACTTTTATGATTTATCTTCTCTTCTTTCTTTCTATATTTTTTCCTTTCTCTCGAAACTTTTCTGTTTTCAATACAATTGAAACATGACTTCTGGAAGAAAATGTACTTATAGAGCTATGAACTTCATCAAATTTCCTGTTAAAGTCTCAAAAATAAATTGTACGTGTTATATTGCAAACATCAAACTACTTCCCAGATTAAATGATAAATTTTATGTATTGATTTCATTGCTGTCAGAGAAGAAAATGAAACACATTTCTCTTAACTTCTCTCTTAAAATGAAACTTCTTTCTTAAAATGAAATAAAAAGATACATATATATTGGTTCATATTATTGAATTATATCTTTTTTTTTTAACTTTTTTCAAAGACTTAATTTTTTCAAAAAATCATA